CATAAACTTGGACTAACATGTCCCTGATTTCACTTCCACTCTTGCCAAGTTTAACAAGAAAATTAATGTTTGTTTGTTGCTCTAATTCAAGCTCAGCTATTCTTGTGATGACACACAAAACACACAGCAACAATAATGAACGCCATTCAGCAAGACACTGCCACATGTCGACACGAACACAACTGTGAGGCACTGATATACCGAGATTATGAAACCTTACTGAGCTGTTTGTACAGTGCTGCCAATGTAAGCACAAGGTGGAAAGTTCGTGAACTTGATTGTCAGGCCTCATATATTCAGGATAAAAGTCACTTTCCATATATATGAATTGCAAATATTTTCTCCCATTCTGTAGATTTCTTTTCACTTTCTTACTAGAGTTCTTTGAAGCACAAAAGTTTTTAATTTTGATGAAGTCCTTTATTTTTTTCTTTTGTTGCTTGGGCACAGTATATTTGAAATACATCCTGTCATATCTTTCCTTATCAGTCAGCTGGTTTCTTCCTCTTTACCTGTTTTGCTCCAAAAGCCTAAGCCATCAGGCTGATTGCCCTCCAGGAGGAAAAGGGTAGATAGCAGCTATTAGAACAAAAAGGTCATTTGACTTAAAGCCAGCTTTTTGGTTGAGATTTCTCAATTCCAAATTTCCCTCTATATACCAAAGAAAAAACGTGGTGTTTTGTCTGAGGTTTGCTGGAATCCCTATGTAGAGAAAACTCTATGGAAAGGGAGTTCCCAGATACTTAGGGAGAAATGGGAATGAGTTCTGTAAATGCAAATTTGAGAGGAAACTTAGATAAAGGAGCAGTCAGATGCTGACCTTGGCTTCTTCTCACCTGGAGTTAGAGGGGCAGGTTAGTTAGAGGCAAACAAAGCTCCCCTGACATCATTAAGCGTTCTTTGACACAGTTCATGCTAATTTGGTGCTGGATCAGCACAGCCCCTCACTAATAGGCCTGAACCATCTGAGGGAGGTATCTAGTATTAAGTAGACCATAGGTTGCCATGACCTTCTGGGGTATGCCGGTGACCCAGATGTACCCAGCCCTGCTGGCACAGTGGTCAGAACATGGAGGCTACAGTGAGAGGACTTTGCAAAGAGGTGAAAGGCCAGGACCACAGGCTTCAACAACAGGGCAAGCAGGCCACCCCAAAAGGCTACCAGGGTCATATGCGCCTCAGTGCAGACCAGCACATGGGTAGAGACAAGTATAAGCAGCTATGCTCTGCAGAGGGAGCAAGAACAGAGAGTGCATCAGAGATTCTGACCCCCACCACCATGAAGGTGCTAAGCTTTTTTCCCTCACAAGTAAACACTATTCTGGATGATGGAAGGGGACACAGGCCCAGGTGGTGGGTTGCCAGTCAGGAGTTCCCTGTTTGTTTTAAAATGTACCTTTAAATATATTGCACTCACTTAAAGCTACCTACACTGACGTATTTAGTGGTGATGTGTACTGCTGTCGGCTGCTTACTTTAAAATGCATTAAAGAATAAGATGGACTGATGGATGGGTGCGGGGATGGACAGATGGCCTGATGTATGTTAAAGCAAAAGAGCAAACTGTTAACTACAGAACCCAGGTGGTGGGTATTTTTATCTTCATTGTACGGTTCTTTAGACGTTTCTGTATGAAAATTTTCATAATAAAATTATAAAGAAAAATGTGGTAATGTAATTAAAGAATAAATATCAAGGTGAAAAAACATGGTGGGAAATCCTAGTTAGGGAGTCAGAGAATAACCAAAAAGGTATTGCAGGGATCACATTAATTTACACACTCTATTCATTCAGAATGTAAGGATGAATTACACCTAGTCCCTGCCCTTGAATTTGGGAGCTGCCATAAGAGTAACCAATTGTGCCCAGGTGCTGAAGATCTACTATGTGACATGAATCAGTGGGATCCCAAATTGTGCCACACCATGCCACAGTGCTTCCTTCCTGGCCCTTGACCATCTCTCTGATTTCAGTTTAGACCACTCTGCCTTTCCTTTACCATACTTTCAGAAAGGTCCAAAAATGTCAGTTCCATGAGCATGGGGACTTGTTGACCACTTGATATCCAAAGCCAAGCACATAGGAGATGCTCAGCAAGTATTAGGTTGGTGCAAATGTAATTGCGGTTTTTGCATTGTTGCAATTTGCCTTTGATATTGGAATACATTCTTAAATAAATGTGGTTACATTATACATCATTTTAATGGACATTTCTAGCTCCTGAAGTATTTTTTTTTCAGATGAACCATCCTGCCACCTGTTGGCAGCTCAGTGGCAGCTCAGCTCGGGCCAGGAATCGAACCAGCGACCCTGTTGCTCAGAGCTCACACTCTTGAGTGAGCGCTTAACCAACTGAGGCACTCGGCCAGCCCTTTTTTTTTTTTAAGATTTTATTGTGGAGGACGTCGCTTCACTGGCCCATGTTGGTATTATCATTGTGCTCTTCCTGGGTGAGGCAGATCGGTCGCCGGCCATTGGACAGCCGCTCACAGCGGCTCTTGGCAGCTCACACCGGCTGCTCGGCCAGCCCTTTTAATGGACATTTCTCACTTTATGTTTTTTTGCTAATAACGTAGTACTTGCTATTTATTTTATATGTATTTTAGACTATGAAAATGATGTTAGACAAAAAGCATATTTGATCGATTTTCCTATTCAAGTTCAAAATGGGTCGTAAAGCAGCGGAGACAACTTGCAACATCAACAATGCATTTGGCCCAAGAACTGTTAACGAATGTACAGTGCAGTGGTGGTTCAAGAAGTTTTGCAGAGGAGACAAAAGCCTTGAAGATGAGGAGCATCATGGCTGGCCACTGGAAGTTGACAACAACCAATTGAGAGCAATCATCGAAGGTGACCCTCTTACAACTACACAAGAAGTTGCCAAAGAACCCAACGTCAACCATTCTACGGTCGTTTGGCATTTGAAGCAAATTGAAAAGGTGAAAAAGCTTGATAAGTGGGTGCCTCATGAGCTGACCAAAAATTTAAAAAATCGTTGTTTTGAAGTGTCATCTTCTCTTATTGTACACAACAACAATGAACCATTTCTCTATTGGATTGCAACGTGTGACGAAAAGTGAATTTTATACGACTACCGATGATGACCAGCTCAGTGGTTGGACCTAGAAGAAGCTCCAAAGCACTTCCCAAAGCCAAACTTGCACCAAAAAAAGGTCATGGTCACTGTCTTGTGGTCTGCTGCTGGTCTGATCCACTATAGCTTTCTGAATCCCAGTGAAACCATTTCATCTGAGAAGTATGCTCATCAAATTGATGAGATGCACCAAAAACTGCAACACCTGTAGCCGACATTAGTCAACAGAAAGGGCACCCAATTCTTCTCCATGACAACGCCTGACTGCACGTCACACAACCAATGTTTCAAAAGTTGAATGAATTGGGCTATGAAGCTTTGCCTCATCCACCATATTCACCTGACCTTTCGCCAACTGACTACCACTTCTTTAGCATCTCGACAACTTTTTGCAGGGAAAACACTTCCACGACCTGCAGGATGCAGAAAATGCTTTCCAAGAGTTCGTTGAATCACGAAGCATGGATTTTTTTTTTTTGCTACAGGAATAAGCAAATTTATTTCTCATTGGCAAAAATGTGTTGACTGTAATGGTTCCTATTTTGATTAATAAAGATGTGTTTGAGCCTAGTTATAATGATTTAAAATTCACGATCTGAAACCGCAATTACTTTTGCACCAACCTAATATATGTCAAATAAATACAAGAAGGAAAATTGTGTATTTTGGCCTTCTCTCCACTCCCTGAGGCTTCACTCCCTGCCTCAGGCCTTTGAGCTTGCTGGTCTTGCTGTCTGGACCATTCCTCTCTTTGGTTCCTGCATGCTCTTTCTCATCATTTATGTCTCTCCTCCAGCATCATCCCCTACAAGGGGCTTTCCCTGACCATTCGCCAATCCCTCCACTTCTCCATCAACCTATACCAGGGTACATAACATATTTATTTATAGATTTATTTGAAAGTCACTGGTTTTATTAAAGCTTTGTGATATTTGCAAGGTATTTTTCTACTAATACCAGCCTCTCCCCAGATACTTACCACAAAGAAGGAGGGTTTTCAGAGTGCACACCACCCTGTTTTGGTTCCTTCATGCTACTTTCACTCCCTAAAATTATTTTGCCTTATTTGTAGGTATGTTTGCTTTTTGTCTGTCTTCCTTTCTAGAACATCAAGTTTTTGTTTGTTTGTTTGTTTGTTTTTTAAAGATTTTATTGGGGAACTGGCAGAGGGGAAGTGTTGGGGAATTGGGGGAGGGGAACAGCCAAGTTGTTGTCCTTCAATTTTAGTTGTGGAGGGCGCAGCTAGCTCAGCTCCAAGTCCAGTCATGCCACTCAAGGTGCTGTGTAGCCACCATCCCATGCGGGAGTCGAACCGGCAGCCTTGTTGTTAAGAACGCATACTCTATCCTCTGAGCCACCCGGGTGGCAGCTCAGCTTAAGGTGCCAAGGCCAGTCTTCATTTGCGAGCGGGCTAGCCCACCATCTCAAACAGGCAACCTTGTTGTTAGGAGCACGTGTTCTCACCAGCTGAGCCATCCTGCTACCTGTTGGCAACTCAGCGGCAGCTCAGCTCAGGCGCAGTGTCACTGGCCCATGTGGGAATCGAACCGGCGACCCTGTTGCTCAGAGCTCGCACTCTTGAGCAAGCTCTTAACCAACTGAGCCACTTAGCCAGCCCTAAAACGTCAAGTTTTAGGATAGCAAGAACTTTGTCTATTTTGTTCACACAGAAAGTGCTCAATAACCATCTTGCTTCATCAGGGTGCCCTGCTCCGCCATCCTCGCTGCTGCAGTATAAGGAGAGTGCCCAGGAGCAGGGTCCTGGGAGAAGACAAGAGTAGAGAGCCGGGGACGCTGGATGTCCCAGAGACAGCCCCGCACACAGGTGTCTTCAAAGCCTCGCTTTTCGGGCCCTGCCTCCGCTGGGGCGCGTGTCCCTTTAAGGGCAACGCGGCCACGCGGTTGGGCCGGGGCGCGCGCAACAGCCTCGCTCTGGGGCCAGAGCCTGCGCGCTCTATCTCGTCTCCCCGCGCCCCCAGCGCGCTAGAGCCCGCAGGGGTTTCTCCTCCAGGCGGTCATGTCTCTCAGTCCGGCCGGGCCTGGCGGCGCGGCCCAAGCCCTGCCATCCGTGGCGAGCGAGCGCAAGAGGCCATGATCTGGCTGCGCTGCTGGTGTGCTCGGCGGCCCCGCGGCTCGGCGGTCCCGGCGGGGCGGCGCTGGGCGGCTGGCGGGCCGGCTGGCGCGGTGGGCGGCCGAGCCCTGCGGGTGTTGGTGGACATGGACGGCGTGCTGGCCGACTTCGAGGGCGGCTTCCTCAAGAAGTTCCGCGCGCGCTTCCCGGACCAGCCTTTCATCGCGCTGGAGGACCGGCGCGGCTTCTGGTTGTCGGAGCAGTACGGCCGCCTGCAGCCCGGGCTGAGCGTGAGCATCCCCTGTCCCGGCCGCCGTTCCCGCCCCGGGCCCGGCGTCCCCCTGAGGCGGCTCCGGACACCGAGGCCCGCCTGCCCAGCCCTGGCCGGGGAGCCCGCGTGACCTTGGGTGGGTCACCGCCCCGGGCCTCGGGGTGGTCCTCTTACAAACGGGCCTGGGGAGGGCCGAGGGCGCAGCGTCTGGGACAGCCCTGCGCTCTGTAACTGTTGGCTGTCCTCGAGGGCGGCACAAAATTCGGGAGAATATAGATCGTAACATACCTAACTCTGTCTTCAGCTGACTTTAAAATTTTTGGTACATTTGGCCGCAAATTTTTTTTAAAAATAAAATATCAATTTCAAGTGAAATTCTCTTTGACCCCTGCCGCAGTCACATTTCTGTTTCTTCAACCTCATGAATTTGAGTGTCTTTACCATTCTTTTTTTTCCCCTTTTCCATAAAAGTACAGCTCTCAGTGGTATTTGAAACCAGGAGAGGCTGAGTGACTTTCTGGACATCACACAATGAGTCCGTTGGCAAGATGGGGGTGAGATCAACTCCTTGTTTTATCCCCTTGCTCTGTTGGCCCTGCTGGACACCTGAACTCACCATACCACTGGGTGTGCTCTGCTCTCTGAGGAAATACCCCAGCAGGTTTACAGAGCTTGGTTTGTAAATTTAAACCATGTCGTGAAAGGTACAGGGTTTGTTTTGTTTTGTTTTTGCCATGCATAAACTTAAAGAGGCTAGGTGTTTCCTCACATCCCTCGATTGGCCACCTGTTACTACCAGAGGATTTGATGATGATGATGATGATGGTGATGATGATGATGATTATGATTGTTTTAGAGTCTGTTTGGTAACCACAGGTTGGCTGTATTACCTCCTCTGTGAGGTAGACATTATTATCTCCAGTATGCACGTGAAGAAACCAAGTGATACATCTGGTAAGGGGCTCAGCCAGGATTCAAACCAGTCTGTCTCCAATGTGCCTCCCCAGCACATTCCCCCACCCCCAAAGCCCTGTTCTCTGACATTCCTTTTCACTTACAAAAGACAACTCAATAATAATTTGGTTTGTTGAGGGGCAGGTGTTAAAAAGGAAATTAGGTGCCATTTTTCGTCACTAACACCATCCACTTCAGAAGGCAACTTTCCCAGAGCCCAGTGTGCTGACTTCTTCCAATCCTGATTCCTAATTAAAAACCTGAAAGTGGAGGAAATGCCCTAATAATTTTTGTAGCCTCAGTAACATGCTCCCCTGCTGTGTGTGTGCTCGTTTATAGACAGTGCACAGCATTGGCAATCTGGGAACCGCATTTCCTCCTAGAAGTATATTAGGATGATGAAACTAAGCCCACCCCCATTTCGGAAAAGGAAGGTGGCTATTCCAGTCGTTTGTACAGATGTGCAGACTCCAGGTTTAAGGAGACGAATTGCCATTTTCCAAGTACAAAGCAAAGGAGAGAGATTCTGAGGGGTGCTCTGGGCATGACCTGCTGACTTCTGCTTCTGGGAGCATGGCAGAAAATGGGATTTTTAAAAAATATATGAACACATGCCCTTTATCACAGCACAGCTCACAGCAGGACATCCTTGAGTCTTCCCTTGGGCCAACTGCCCCACGTCTGTGGTTAAAAACACCAACCAACTCATCAAACCAGCTTACATACATAGGCACTTCTATTTTACAAAATACCACTCTAGGGCCGGCAGAGTGGCGCGATGGTTAAGAACTGGCTTGGGATGCCAGAGGGCCCCGGTTCGGATCCCACATATGAGGGCCAGTGACACTGCCCTCTACA